TTGGGCTTGGAGAGGCAGGTCTTTGGGTACAGAGGGGGTGGGGTGAGTGCGAATGGGTGGGTCCTGGGGGATGGGGATGGGGCTCATGTGGAGGGATGGGTTCTGGGGCATGGCAGGGGGGGCAAGCATGGAGCGGGTGGGTCCTTGGGTGTGGAGGGGCGGAGCCTGGGGCATGGAGCAGGCCAGGTCTGGGGTCCTTGGAGTGCAGATGGAGAGTGAGGCCAGTAGCAGGACATGGGAGTAGCTTTGGGTGCAGAGAGAGTCCCAGGGTTGTAATGTGCAGCTGACACCCCCCAACTTCCAGTGGGGGGCTTGTACTTAACTTGTCCAGTCCTAGAGCCTCTGGAAGGAGATGCTGGGTAGAGCGTCCACCCCTGGACACCAGCTGTGCTGGTCCTGGAGAACCCTTGGGACTCTTGGCTGGGGGATTCCAGGAACAGCAGACGGCTGCAAGAAATTAGTCTGCCATCTCAGGCAGTTCAGGAAATGATGTCCCATCCAGCACTATGTCCTGAAAGACTCAGACCTGGCCCGGCTGGCCCTCCAGGCTGGATCATGGCAGCCTTAGAAGAGAAGTTATGTGCTCAGAAAAGCTCAGTTGAGTGTAGCAGCTTTCTTGCTCTGATCAGTGCAGAGCCTTCTCTGGATGCCTGTCTCCAGTGATTTGTTGTTCTCCTTATAGAATACATTCAAATTCAGCCTTTCTGTGTTGATATTTCAAGTATTCAATACAACTGGCCTTACCTGCCTGCAGGTCGCTTTCTTTCTGTCTAATCAGGGCCTCCTAGGCTGCTATAATAAACTTAAGTAACTGATCTGATCTGTTCCCTGTTCCACAGGGAAATTTAGGAGCAGGGGAGCCAGAATACAGGTTTCCTTCGCTTTATGTGGGTTCTTTATGTGCAAATTTGCTCTTATGCAATGACTGTTTTTATGCCAAAAATCCATTATATGCAAGGTAAATTCACTCTTATGCGATTGGTATGGTGGAAGCCTGCAGTCAGCTGCTTTGTGTGGTGCATTGTGGGAGTGACACACACCAATATATAGTCTCCCGTGTGGATCTGTGCTCCTCACTTGTTGTCTGTGACATGTTTCTGTAGTTGCCATCCCCATTATAGCTTCTAAGCATCCTGCTAGCTTACCTCGTACTCCTCTCCCTCCATCACCACTCTCTCTTCATGCCAGCTAAATAGTCACCACCACCCTGTGCCTGTGTGTACTGTCTGCTGTTGGTGAGTGCCAAAATTGTCTTGTAAAAGTGGTAGAAATGGGTATGGGGGTCAGTACAGTCGAGGTCTTGGGATGTATCCATATTTGTTACATTGTAAACTGGGTTCCCTTTATGTGAAGTCGAGTTATGTGCGCCGTTTTCCAGGAACACATATACAGCATAAAGCGAGGGAAACCTGTACTCTAAGGAGCTGACCGAAGACTATGGACTTACTGTACATGAAGTGTCATGTCCCAGACCCCTCTTTATAGTTGCAACTAAATGGAAAACTCATATTTTCATTTTAACTTTTCCAAAGCAAAAGTCCATCATTACCAGAATGAGCAAACCTCTACTTTTGGAAAGTATATATGTATGTACTATGAAATGCAAAGGTCCAAAGTAGACCCCTTAGGCCAATCAGTGGGAGTTAGGTGTCTAAACACATTTTGAGATTCTGCCCTTAAGATCTGAGCAAGAGCAGATAGAGACTTGTTGGGAGGGGCAGAGGGAGGGAGTGAGAATTCAGTGTAGTCTATAGGGAAAGGCAAGTTACCAGGACAAAGGAAGTTTAAAGGAGAATGGAAATGTGGCATGGATGCTTGAAAAATGAGGAGACTTCTCTGTCAGTCAAGTACTTGACAATATATCTTTGACTTTTAAATGTTATTAAAATAGGTCTTTAAAAATTAATTTTGCATAATAGTTTTTATGATATCAGTTTTAGGAAACCGTGAATATTAGAGAGAGGCATGAACTTGAAAAGCAAAGTTTTCATTTGAAGGCACTTATAATGCCAAAAAGATTTGCAAGCTATACTAAGAATAAATAACTTTATTATGCAAAGACATGCACAGATGTCTAGCCCAAAGGCTCATGCTCAACATGAAGGATACAGTTACAAAGTTTGAAACACCTCACCTGCCTCAATCCTAGCATTTGGGGCCTCACTGTAGTTTAAAATTCAAATTACTGTATTCCGTGTAGCAGTTGAATGCCAACCATTGCCTGCTGTCCTGTGGCTGGGATCTAGCAGTTTCTACATATTTGTGGTTTGAAGACTTCAGTGAAGTCATCTAACGGCAGTGACCCAGTTTGTATTTTGAGGGTATCAGCAATTACTCAATTTGGTTGTCTATGTAAAAATGAAGCTGAATTTTAAAGCTGTATTATTAAAAAAAATCCTTATTTCTGGCTTTTTCCCCCCACTTTTTATTTAAACCTGATGAGGTAATAACACAGAAGCATTACTGATTGTCAGAAATTAATACACCAGGCCTTCAGTTACTGAGTTTTGTAAAGGTGCATGTGTGTACAAGCTTTTGCAGAACCAGTACTTTTTTTTTAAGAAAGGGTTGCTTTGTGACCGTGGGAACTACTATTCCTGGTGCCAGAGCACTGTTACTCTTCCCAGAGAGATTTTCCAAATAGGAATGCTTTGAAAACCTAAATCCATGTGGAAAGAATTATCTTTTAATTGTCTCTTGATAAAGTTCATTGTCCAATATACATAATGCTTCAACATTTAAAGCATATTAAAGCATACCATAATGTGGTATCATGGCACTGATTCCCTCTTTTTTTAATCAGAATTCCCCAGTAGGATTATTGTGGTCATATTAACACATAGGCAGACAGAAATATCATGAAGTTGAGTGTAACGACTTTCTTTCTTTTCTGATTTTCTTTTTAATGTCAATGCCTTTGAGAGCTATACTTCAGTGACTTGAACTACAAAAACTTCCTTGGGAATGTGCTGGACATTCCTG